ATCACCCGTCCTTTTCTCTTTCCTTCTCTCTTTTCTCCCATTTTTCTCTCCTTTCTTATCCTCATCTTTGCCTTCTTCCTCCTTCTCTCTTGCTCACTAAAATAAACAAGATACAAAGATATGAGAAAGAAGTCTGGAAAAGACTCTGCATATAGAAATTAAGAGATACAGAAAATAAAATTATTAAAAATATGTGCAAGGTACAAGACATTCTAAAGAATTGCCAAGGAGACTAAAATAAACCAAATAGAACTTTTATGAAAAATAAAATAATTAAAATAAAAAAAACAAATATATAGACTTAATATCATACTAAGGAGCTCTGGTGGCGTAGTGCCTAAGGCATTTGACTGCTAACCAGAAGGCTGGTTGTTCAAACCCACGAGCCACTCTGCAGAAGAAAGACTGGGCAATCTACTTTGGTAAAGAATTGCTGCCTCCGAAACCCAAAGGGAGTCACTATGAATCAGTATCAACTTGATGGCAGTGAGTTTAATATCATATTAGTATATTAGAACAAATGAAAAGAAAATATTTGTAACCTGTAAGTTAGGTGAGAAGAAGGTATACTGAATTTACAGAGAAACAAAGAAATGGAAAATGAGAAAAAAATTAGTAAAGAAACATGGAGGGTGGAGTGAAAAGGTCTAAAAAAATATAAAGGGGAGTTCCCAAGGAGAGGAAAGAGAGAATGAAGCAGAATTAGAATTGAAGATATGTTGTTGTTGTTGTTATGTGCCGTCGAGTCAGACACGACTCATAACGACCCCTCCTTGGGTTTCCGAGGCAGTATCACTATGGCAGTAGATTGCCCCATCTTCCTTCCGAGGAGTGGCTGGTGGGTTTGAACCGCCAGCCGTCTGGTTAGCAGGTAAGTGTCTTAGCCACTATGCTACCAGAGCTCCTCTAGTGTATGTTAGGCTCCTGAAATCATAACAGTTTTTTATTTCTGGCAGTGAATTCCATGTATATATTATTTTGCAGTGCAAAAGGCAATCTTTCCATTCATGATCATGTCTGACTTTCATAGAAAGTCTGTGCATCTGACAAGAAGGTTAATAGTAGTGTCTGCCTTTTCTCTCCTTCTTATATGCAACCCAGTGTTAAAGTCAGGAACAGCCCAGTTTATTAAAGGTGAGAGATTGATTTTATTTTTATTTTCTTTAACTTACCTATGCTTTCAGAAGCTCCCATATTTTGTACTACTTGAAACTTGTTCAGAAAAATTTCTCTTTTAAAAATTCTACATTTTCTGCTTTCTTTTATCATTGCACATATCTTTCCTAGTTTCCCCTTTTCTCTTCTTTCCCAAATTTTAAATCTTTGCTATTCTTTCTCTCCTTTTTTTCTCCCTTCTGCCTCTCAGGTGAAGTGAGCTCTGCTGGTGTAGTGGTTAAAGCATTTGGCTGCTATCCAGAGGTTGTTGGTTCAAACCTGTCAGCCACTCCGCATGAGAAAGATGAGGCATCTGCTTCCACAAAGATTACAGCTCTGGAAACCTTATGGGGCAGTTTTACTCTGTCCTGTAGAGTCGCTATGAGTTGGAATAGACTCTATGGCAGGGGGTTTGGATTACTTTTTTCTTTTTTTGGCCTTTCATATTGCTCCATACCCTTCAAGAAATTAAGTTGAATTCTGAATACAGATTTGGAGATTAAATGTTATCAAATCCTCAGCAAGAGATATATTGTGAAATCTGAAGTGTCTTCTCATTTCAGATCACTAATTAGGGCTACTGTAAATTATCATATGAGAATTTTCCCTTATGCATGTTGAACCTATTGAAAAAGATGATGGAGAGGGTAGAGGACTAGGAATGATGATCATTTACCCGAAAGCAAAGCATTGCTATGGACTGGTGTTATAAACTAACTTCTTAATCACAAATTACCTACCCATTTCCTACATATATATTTGGATATATTATGGGCTCTATACACATGAATAATTAAGTTAATAGTAAAAAGTCTCCTTGTATTATACAGATCAAGGCATTTTCCATGTATTGCATACCTCTCTCTTCTTTCTTCCTATTCCATTTTCACTAATTTCTACAAGGCCAGATTAATGTTTACATCTTGTGGACAGCCTTTCCCACATTCTCTAGCTGACAGGTATCTTCTTTCTGCCTTTGAACTTTTCTTAGCACTTTTCCACCCAAATACTCAGCAAATACTTATCTTTGACACTTATTGTATACCACCTTATACTGTACTTGCTCTGTGCACAATTCATGGTTTTTCAACTGTTTTCTTGACTTACAGGAGTCAAAGCCAGAACAAATGAGTATGAAGAAGAATTGTTAATAAAAGCTACAAAAAGTAAACTGGATTTTAGTTGACTTTTAGGAAAATAAAATTTAGAATTCCCAAAGGATAGGCTTATTAGAAACATAACCTAGAGTTTTTACAGTTGTAGAGACAGTTGCATTAACAAAACAAACAAACAAACAAAATAAATAAGGAGTACATAGTGTCAGCAGTGAATAATAATTTTTCCAAATATAATTTAGTATTAATAATAGACACTACATGAATACTTGTGTTTAGTTTTGATTCTAACTGGGATAAATCACAATTTTGAGTTTCACTTTTACTTTTTCTTTTTTTAAAATCTGATTATTTACTTTAGGATATGTCATTCTGGAATAGGAATCAAGAGACTAGGGTTCTGGTTCCCAATTCCAGCAATTTTATGAATCTGGGAAACTCAGTTTACTTTGCTGGGTCTCGTTTTTTTTTTTTTTTTTTAAATCTAAATAATGATCAACCTGAACAGAATGGTATTTCATTTTATCACAGTGTGAACATGTGTCTCTCACCTAGGCCTTGGATCATTTTCAACAATTGCTGAGTTTCCCTAGTACCCTTCACAGTACCTCCATCAACTATCCATGTACGCTCATACCACCAGTGTTTTTCCATGCTGACCTCCTTCTCCAAATGGGCAACATATGTGGCTGTTCTAAATTTCCTACCCTGGGTCCCAAGGTTTTTGGTGTATCATGAGACAATGGATTATTGACTCAGGAGGTGATGGTATAATCACTGAGGGTGCATAAGAATAGAGACTCCTATCAGTGGTAGTGACTCAGAATTGGGGTCAGGACACAGTGAGAGCCTCTGTGGGTATTGTGGTCTATGATAAATGAGGGCATCAATTAGATGGATTTTTGTGTGAGAAGTTCTGGAGCTGTGGCTACAAAAATGAAGGATATCAGTATATTGTTCTATTGTACATCAGCAACTCCTAAAATCACAAAACTGTATTAATGTTTTTAGAGACTACTCTCTGCTGTAGGGAAAAGACTAAAGTGGGTATCAGGACACAGATAAACACAACCCTGTTCCCTACTCATGCCTCACTTGACGTATAAACAGAATACTTATTAAAGGACTAAATCTCCAGTGTTATTTTTTGTATTTTTATTTGAAGATTAAGAAGAAAGCTCATCTACCTACTAAAGTGCTACTTATTAATGCATCATATTCTTCTCATTTTATAATCATGAATTAAATGCAAAAAATTACAAATTTCCTTGAAGATTAAATATTTAAATTGCTTTTCATCAAAGTAAAGAGTGTAATGTCATATATCAGAACAGGTTATAATTCAAGAAGGTACTGAGTACATTAAAGCATGGAGGATGCAAATGAGTTTGAAAGGTGATACCAAGAGGAGGCTGAAACACTGGTGAATGAAAACTTAATATGTCAACTATGCCAAAAGTCTCAATACCTTTATGCATATGTACAGAAAGAAGCTGTTTTGCAGAGGTATTTTACATCCTCTGTGGACACTAAGACATGTGCCTCAATAGAAACTCTGATGAAATCCCCAAAATACATATTCATTAGCTAGGAGAAAGCCTTGTAAGATCAGATGATTCCAGAGAATGCCTTACTGGATATTGAGGCCAATTGAAGACTTTGCAATTATAAAAGGTTGTGTAGAAGCTAGAGGCTCTCAGAATAACCATAAGTATAATAAAATGTGGTGGAACATAGTGATAGTTCTTTATTTTTAATGTAAGTCCACATCCTTCCCCTGTTCTTATACTCTAGAGGGTTCTCTAATGTCACATACCCTAGTCTCTTTATGGCAGTCTCAATCTGTAGGTGATCTAGTTAATCTTAACTCATGTTCCAGGCAACTCTCACTCTAAGTGACAATTCCTATCACATTTCCCCATAATCCCTACTTTTTGTCAGAGAAATGGAAGTGTTAAGTAGGGAGAGTAGAGAATTGTGAGAGTATGCATAAAAATAAGTTGGAAATGAGGACTAGTCAATGTCAGAGGTGATTTAAATAGGGGATGAATGTCATGCTTAATCTGTTGGAACCTTGAGGTGCAGTGGTTAACTGTTAGGCAGCAAATGGAAAGGTTGATGGTTCAAACCTACCAGTTGCTTCCCTGGAGAAAGATATGAGAGTCTGTTTCTGTAAAGTAACTGTGGGACCTTGGAAGCTGTAGGACAATTCTACTCTGTTATATAAGGTTGTCATGAATTGGAACAGATTCAAAGGCAATGGGAATCTTCTATTAGGGCTTCCTGGGCGGTTTATGCTTGATTACTAACCTAAATGTAGTAGCTTGAACCCACCCAGTAGAGTTGTGGAGGAAAGGCCTTGTAATCTTCCATAAATATTACAACCAAGAAAACCCTCTGGAACATTTCTACCATGTAACACACAGGATCACCATGAATCAGAATCAATTTAATGACCACCTTTTTTTTTTTTTTAATTTTCAATTAATTTGAAGCCAAAATATTGTGGGGATAGTATTGGTGACAGGTTTAAATCACGTTGTGCTAACAAGCTGTGATTATACTATATTGATTTTTCTTGTTTTTGTATATTTGAGGAACTGAAAACTACATACTTTTGATTCATAATGAGGACACTGTAGCATAAATTATTCTAAGACATATTATTATCATCTTAATTACAATTTTTTCCTTATTTTTTTTAGTTCTCATAATTTCAGTGGCAGCCCTGTTGGCTGGATCAATGGATGGAGGGAATTACTCTGTGGTGTCTGAGTTTGTGTTTCTAGGACTCACCAATTCATGGGAGATCCAGCTTCTCCTCCTGGTGTCCTCCTCAGTGCTCTATGTGGCAAGCATGACTGGAAACATCCTCATTGTGTTTTCTGTAACTACTGATCCTCACTTACATTCTCCTATGTACTTTCTACTGGCCAGTCTCTCCTTCATTGACTTGGGAGCCTGCTCTGTCACTTCACCCAAGATGATACATGACCTGTTCAGAAAGCACAAAATCATCTCCTTTGGAGGTTGCATCACTCAGATCTTCTTCATCCATGTCATTGGTGGTGTGGAGATAGTGCTGCTCATAGCCATGGCTTTTGACAGATATGTGGCCATATGTAAGCCTCTCCACTATCAGACCATTATGAGTCCTAGAACGTGCATTTTGTTTCTTGCTTCTGCTTGGGCCCTTGGTGTCAGTCATTCACTTTTCCAACTGGTGTTTATAGTTAATTTACCCTTCTGTGGCCCTAATGTATTGGACAGCTTCTACTGTGACCTACCCAGACTCCTCCGACTAGCATGCAGAGATACCTACAGACTGCAGTTCATGGTCACTGCCAACAGTGGGTTTATCTGTGTTGGTTCTTTCTTCATACTTGTAATCTCCTACATCTTCATCCTGTTTACTGTTTGGAAACATTCCTCAGGTGGTTCATCCAAGGCCCTCTCTACTCTGTCAGCTCACATCACTGTAGTCCTTTTGTTCTTTGGTCCAACCATGTTTGTCTATACTTGGCCACACCCAAATTCCCAGATGGACAAATTTCTTGCTCTCTTTGATGCAGTTTTCACTCCTTTTTTAAATCCAGTCATCTACACATTCAGGAATAAAGAGATGAAGGCAGCAATGATGAGAGTATGCAAACAGCTAGTGATTTACAGGAAGATCTCAAAAATTACGTGATGTTCTTGCTGACCATGGTATAGTATTACACTTCTATCTTTGATATTTTAGATTCAGGAGCTTTGAGGCAATATTGATTTGGGTATTATCAGATATGTAATGTAATTCTTAACTGATGAATGTACTCATTCCTTATGAAGAGCAAGTCAGGAAAACACTATACCTCTATATTTATGTAAGTCCCTTTTAATTTCTTTCAGTAATGTTTTATAGCTTTTGGTCTTGTATATCTTTTGTTTATATTTATCCTTACATATTTCATATTTTATATGGTAGTTTAGATAGCTTTATATTTCAATTTACATTTCCTCATTAGTACATGGGAATACAATCAAATTTTGTTTACTTATATTGTATCCTGCAAACATGCAAAACTCATTAGTTTTACTAGTACTTTATAGATTATATAGGATCTTCTTCATAGATGATCACAATGTCTGAAAATAAAGAAATTTTTACTTTCTAAATTCCAGCATGAATTCATTTATTACCTTATTGCACTTGATAGATCCTCCAACAAAGTGTCAAATGGAAGTGGTCAGAATGGGCATCCTTGACTTATTTCTGATCTTATGGGAAAAAACAGTTTTTTTGTCAGCAAGTATGATGCTAGCTGTAGGTTTTTCATAGATGGTTTATTTATAAGAGGTTCCTTTCCATCCACAGTTTGCTGAAAAATTTATATTTTAAAATCAAGAGTGGATGTTGGATTTTTAAAAAGGATTTTTATTTATTTTGGTAAAAAGCGTATGCTGGCTCTTTAGAAGGTGTTAGGAAATCTTCCCTTTTCTTAAATTATCTGAAGGAGCTTGTGCATAATTGGTATGATTTCTTCATTAAATGTTTGATGAAATTTATCAACGGAACCATCTGGATCTGGAGTTTTTTCCTGTCATAAGGTTTGCAACTATAAATTTAATTAATTTATTCAAAAACTTTGTGTTATTTATTTTGGTAAGTACTGTCTCTCGATAAATACGTACATTTATTATGTTGTCAAATTATTAGAATAAGTTGTTCGTAAAATTCCATTATTATCTTTTCTAATATCTATAAGACCTACAATACTCTCCTCACTCTTATTCTTCAATGAAGGAGCTCTGGTGGCATAGTGCCTAAGGCATTTGACTGCTAACCAAAAGGCTGGCAGTTCAAACCCACCAGCCACTCCTCGGAAGGAAGGTTGGGCAATCTACTTTTGTAGAGATACTGTCTCAGAAATCCAAGGAGGGGTTGCTACAAGTTGGATCTGACTCAATGGCAGTGTGTTTGGTTTTGGTTTTGTTTTGGTATTCTTCAATGTACTGCAGAGTGAGCAACTCAGGAGGCTGAATAAACTATTTCACTCCTCAAAGACTGAATGTCTAGATAAATTTGGATGTGGTGGTGTAGTCCCTGAGGCATTTGACTGCTAACCAGAAGGCTGGAAGGTCAAACTCACCAGCCATTCCTTGGAAGGAATATTGGGCAATCTACTTCTGTAGAGATACCAACTTGGAAACCCAAGGAGGGGTAACTATAACTCAGAACCAACTCAACGGCAGTGAGTTTGGCTTGGTTTTTGACAGAAGTGGGAAGCCAGTGAGGACAGACAGAAGGGGTTAGAGGAGAAGCCCCAGGCAGGAAGTGGGAATGCTGGATGGACAGCTGAAATGGGTAAGGGGAGCACCTCCAGGCAGGAAGGGGGAAGCCAGGGCAGATGGCTAGAATGGGTAAGGGGAAAACCCCTAGGCAGGAAATGGAAGCCAAAGTGGATGGCTGGGACAGGTAGGGGGAAGGCCAGGAAGTGGGCAGAGTGGTTTGGAACAGCTCAGGGGGATGAACTTGTCTGTCAGTTTGTCATACTGTGGTGGCTTGCATGTTGTGTGAGGTTGGAGGCTGTGCCACCAATGTTTCAAACACCAGCAGGGTTGCCTGTGGTGGATGGGTTTCAGTGGAGCTTCCAGACTGAAGACAGACTCTGAAGAAGAAAAAGACTTTAAAAAAGGTCTTTTGCAGCAGATTTGTCCAGTGCAATATGACATTTGATTTCTTGACTACTGCTTCCATGGGTATTTATTATTGATCCAAGTAAAATGAAATCCCTCACAACTTCAATCTTTTCTCCATTTATCATGATGTTGCTTACTGGTCCAGTTGTGAGGTTTTTTGTTTTCTTTATGTTGAGGTTTAGTCCATATTGAAGACTGTAGTCTTTGACCTTCATCAGTAAGTGCTTCAAGACATCTTCACTTTTAGCAAGGAAGGACGTTTCATCTGCACATCACAGGTTGTTAATGAGTCTTCCACCAATCCTAATGTCATATTCTTGTTCATATTGTCCAGCTTCTTGGATTATTTGTTCAGCATACAGGTTGAATAGCTATGGAGAAACGATACAACCCTGATACATACCCTTCCTGATTTTAAAACATGAAGCATCCCCTTCTCTATTCAAATAACAGCATCTTGGTCTATGTACAGGTTCCTCATGAGCACAATTAAGTGTTCTGGAATTCCTATTCTTCTCAATGTTATCCATAATTTGTTATGATCCACATAGTTGAATACCTTTGCATAGTTAATGAAACACAAGGAAATATCTTTCTTGTATTCTTTGATTTCAGCCAAGTTCTGTATAACATTAGCAATGATAGCCTCATTCCATGTCCTCTTCTGAATCCAGCTTGAATTCCTGGCAGTTCCCTGTAAATATATCGATGCAATCATTTTTTAAATTATCTTTAGCAATATTTTACTTGAATGTGATATTTGAGATATTGTACAATAATTTCCACATTCTGTTGGACCACCTTTCTTTGGAATGAGCACAAATGTGGATCTCTTCGAGTAATTTGGCCAGGTAGCTGAGTAAATGTCTCAGCGCTGCACCACTTGTTGAAACATCTCAGTGGGTATTCCATGAATTCTTGGAGCCTTGTTTTTCACCAATTCCTCAGTGCAGATTGGACTTCTTCCTTTGATACCATTTGTTCTTGATCATAAGCTACTTCCTGAAATGGTTGAACATGGACCAATTCTTTTTGGTACAGTGACTTTGTGTATTCCTTCCATCTTCTTTCAATGCTTCCTGCATCATTCAATATTTTTCCAATAGAATCCTTCAATATTGCAAGTCGAGGCTTGAGTTTTATATTCAATTTTTTTCAGCTGAGTATGTTCTCTCCTTTTGTTTTTCTAACTCCAGATTTTTGGACAATTCATTATAATACTTTACTTTGTCTTCTTGAGCCTCCCTTTGAAATCTTCTTTTCAGTTTTTTTATCTCATAATTTCTTCATTTGCTTTAGCTACTCCCCATTCCAGAGCAAGATTCAGTGTCTCTTCTGACAGCCATCTTGGTCTTTCTTTCTTTGCCTCTCTTTTTAATGACCATCTGCTTTCTTCATGTATGATGTTCTTGATGTCATCCCCAAACTTGTCTGGTTTCTGGTCATTGGTGTTCAATACTTCAAATGGTATCTAAATTCAGGTGGGATATAACCAAAGTCATATTTTGGCTCTTGTAGACTTGTTTTAATTTTCTTCAACTTCATCTTGAACATGCACCTAAGCAACTGATGATCGGTTCCACAGTCGGCTCCTGGCCTTGTCTTGACTGAAGATATTGAGTTTTTCTATCACCTTTTTCCACAGATGTAATCAATGTGATTCCTCTGTATTCCATTTGGAAAGGCCCACATATATAGCTGCCATCTATGATGGTGAAAAAGTTTTCACACTGAATAAATCATTAGTCTTACAAAATTCTATCATGTGATCTCTGGCACTCTGGAATTATTTCTATCACCAACCAAAAAAAAACCCAACCAAATTCACTGCTGTGGAGTCAATTTGACTCATAGCGACCCCTCCTTGGGTTTCTGAGGCAGTATCACTATGGAAGTAGATTGCCCAATCTTCCTTCTGAGGAGTGCCTGGTGGGTTTGAACCAGCAGCCTTCTGGTTAGTAGTCAAGTACCTTAGGCACTATGCCACCAGAGCTCCTTCATTTGTATGACTTGTCTCTAAACTTTGATTCCTTATATATAAGTACTAGATTTGTTTCACGAGTAAAAAATAATATGCATTGAGAGCTGTAGTGTACACACACAGAGTGTATCTTGCAAAAGCTGGAATGTGTGCAAGGTGACAGAAAAGGAAAATTCAAAATATTTTCCAATATCACCAACAGAGTGATAGAAAATTGGCAAGCCTCCACCCTGTCAAAGGCAGAAAACTTGCCAGACTGAGAAAAACAAGGCAGTCCTTTTGAGTTCTGGCTCTCACAGTTTTCACAGTATATATGTATCAGCAGTCATTGAGTTGATTCTCTTTCATGGCAAACCATATGTGTCAGAATAGAGTTGTGTTCCACTGAATTTTGGGGGCTGATTTTTCAGAAGCAGGTCTCCCGGTCCTTCTTCCAAGGTTCCTGTCGGTGGGGTTGAATTTTCAATCTTTCAATTAAATTTCAATCAGCTGAGTTTGTTAACCATTTGTACCACCCAGGAACACATTCTCTCTCTCCCTCTCTAACCTTTCATTCATGCTGTTGGTATCTCTAAGGTAGTTCTACTTAGACTTAGATTTCTATGATTTGCATCATCCATGTGCTGTTGGATCATTACGAGTCAGTTGTATTCTAATATCTCTTGGATCATTGGCCTTATTTACTTGCTTACCCAATTTACCTTTAATGAAAAATTGCGTTTTCATAGTGTGGAATTGGGTCACTCATATCACCATGATATTCCTGAAGTCACTAAACTGTTTAAAAATACCAATTACAGTTCCCTGTCACCACAAAAATAAATTAATTTTTCTTTGATTTGATTGGCGCATTACTTTCTGGCACTATTCTTCAGCTAATAATCCAAGACCTTTAATATTTCTAGTCTATTTTTTGCTGGGAACTTTTTATTAGGTTTAGTTATTTTGCTAAATTTTTATCTAAAAGACACTAGATATGAAAATAATTATGTTAGGAGCCATTGAGTTGATTTTGACTCACAGTGATC